GTCCTGATAAATGGGCCCAGATAGTGTATTCTTGTTTAGGTCACCTGTCCATCTTTGAGCCAGACGCCATGGCCGTGAATGGAACCGCACCACCTGAACTGCACTGACAGAGAACGAGGGAGGACTGGCTATCCAAAGACAAACCCCCATGTGCAAAAAAGGAGGTGGCAAAGACGTGAAATACCTAGAACTGTTATGGACCCTCCCCCAAGAATACTATGATTATTTGGAAAATATTTTATTTATTTATTTTTATAGAGAGGGGAAGGGAGAGAGAAAGAGAGGGAGAGAAACATCAATGTGTGGTTGCCTCCTGTGTGCCCCCAGCTGGCCCACAACCCAGGCATGTGCCCTGACTGGGAATTGAACCAGTGACCCTTTGGTTCACATGCTGGTGCTCAATCCACTGATTTTTTAAAATTTAATATTTATTGTATTTTTTACATTACCTTTTAGTCCCCTTATACCCCTCTCCCAGAAATCACACAGTTGTTCATGTCCATGAGTCCTTTTTCCATTTAGCTCCATCCCTCAGTCCTCTGACCTTCCCTGCCACTAGCTGTCATCCTGCTCTCCAGTATGAGCCCGTCCCCATTTTCCTTGTTCGTTCAGTTTATTCATTAGATTCCACATGAGTGAGATCATGGTATTTGTCTTTCTCTTTAAAATTTTTTTCCTTTATTGTTGTTCAAGTATAATTGTTTCCATTTTCCCCCCATCACTCCCCCCTCACCCCACCCAACCCCACCTCCCACCATTAGTCCTACCCCCCTTTGGCTTTGTCTATGTGTTCAAGAATACTACGATTTAATACAGTAATGCAAATTGAGCATCCACTCTTAGGATGTTTGTGAATTCCGTGAAGCCTGTCCAAGGACCCTAACTTAGGAATAGAAGAAAACTGAGCTTGGTCTCTTTTTCTAGTGTGTAGCCCTTTGCAGATACAAAATTATTAACAGTTGCATTTCTAAAATAAAAGAATACATGCACTTAAGAAAATAAGCTTTATTGCCGTGGTTGGTGGCTCAGTTGGTTGGAGAAGATTCCTGCACCCTAAAGATGTGGGTTCAATTCCTGGCCAGGGCGCATGTGTAGTTTGTGGGTTTGGTCATTGGTCAGGGACTGTACGAGAAGCAACTGATCTGTGTTTCTCTCTCACATCAGTGTTTTTCTTTCCCTCTCCCCTTCTTTTCCCTTCTCTCTAAAATCAATAAGCATGTCCTTGGGTGAGGATGGATAGATAGATAGATAGATAGATAGATAGATAGATAGATAAACTTTATTTTAGATTTACAGAAAGAATATGAAAATAGTACAGAGAGTTTTCACCCAACCCACACCTAGTTTTCCCAGTTGTTAACATCTGACAGCAGTGTGGCATATTTGGTACAATTGATGAGCCAATATTAACACAGTGTTATCAACAAAAGTCCAAAGATTTTCTTAGTTTTTACCAAATGGCCTTTTTCTCTTCCAGGGTCCTATTCAATACAGTTGTCATGTCTACTTAAGTTTCTCTTGGCTACAACAGTTTTTTTTTTTTTTCAGATTTTCCTTATTTTTGATGACCTTGACAGTTTTGAGAAGTATTTGTCAATACTCAAACTTTTGAGAAGTTTTGAGAAGATATTTTGTAGAATGTCCCTCAGTTTCGTTGTGTTTGATGTTTTTCTCATGCTTCTACTGGGATTATGCTTCTTGAAAAGAGAGCACAGAGGAAAAGTACCACTTATGTTATGTCCAATGTGAAAACGATCAACATGACATATCTCTGTTGAGAATGACCTTGGTTGGTGGCCTGAGGTAGTGCTTGCCAGGTCTCTTCACTGTAAAGTTAGCCTTCTTTCCTCTCCCTCCACACTATATTTTTTGGAAGAAAGTCAGTATGTCAAGACCACACTTAAGAAGGAGGAGTTATGCTTCACCTCTTTAAGAAGAAAGTATCTACATAAATTATGTGGAATTCTTCTGGACAGAAGATCCAGAAGAATTCCACACTTCTGCCCCCTCACTTATTTACTGATTCAGTTATTTATGTATTTATATCATTATAGCTATTACATTTATACTTTGGGTTATAATTCAGTACTACTTGGTTTATTTTATTGATCAGATTGTTTCAAGTTTGGTCACTGGGAGTTGTCTCTGCTGCCCCTGCAACAATCCCATCATTGTGTTTAGTTGTTTTGTTTCGTTTTCCAAACACTTCCATACTTTCTAGCATGAGAAATTACTCCAGACTTACTTAAGATATCCCCTGCCTAGCCCTAGACTCAGCCATTTCTCCAAGGAGCCCTGGTTCTTTGTACCAGAGAGTGGTATTTGGAAATGAAGATCTGGGTGGTGGGTGTGCTCAATATGTAGATTTTTAAAGCAAAATTATTTTAAAAGGTTTATATGTAAGTAAAAACAAATCAATTACTTTTTCATTCCTTTTTATAAAATTTAAACTCTTTTGAGTTTTTTTCTTTTTATTCTCTCTATATTACTCAAAATGTGGTTATACTATATTTTTTTGATTGATCAGTCTGAGACATTATTTATTGACCTCCTGTAAGGGTGAATAGGGTTTGGTGTTCTTACATCCTCACCCCACTTCCTCTTTGCCTATCTTTCCAGTGTAGTCATATGATGATTTTGTGTTAAACCAGTGGTCAGAGTTACATTACTATCACCATATAAATATCTTTCATACTGAGCAAAGGTACTATATTACATATTCTTTCTTCTATATTTTATCTTTCCTGATCATAATAATTGCCTCATTTTTTTCCTTTCTTAATTCCCCAAGTATCCATTCAATTTATCCCAAATGTTCCAACCTATCTGTCAAAACCCTATCAAATCTATTTCAAACATGCTAAATGTGTGAGATAATGTATTAGTTATAATCACCACCACCACCCCAAACCACCTCTGCCTCTGTCCTTCTGCTCCATCATGGTTTGCTTGCTCTGGTAAGTAGTTCCCAAAGCTGCTTCCCTTTCGAAGACTCTTCCTGAGCCTGTTGGAATGCTCGTTTTTGAGAAAGCCAATGCTGTGTAGGAATCCATCTACTCTGAGACTGCCATACCAGCAGGAAGCCCAAGGTGCTGTGTAGACAAACAGTGTGGAGAGAGAGAGTTGTCTGTCCAGCCCCCTAGCTCTTCATCCTGTCAATTTGCTAGATATGTGACCGAAAAGGCATTTTGGATGTTGTCTTTGTATCTATTTCATGTTGAAGACTTTCCCCAAAGGTCAGGTGATCTTTGGTTGCCTATATTTAAAGTGACACACTAAAACCTAGTTAGGAATGCTGCATGTATGACTGGGGATCATGCACTGGTGAGTTTACTGAAGGGGTTAGATGGTATTGTTGGGGAACACCCACATATCAGTATCTATAACTGTTTTACTAGGGACATTCAGTTTATCCAGAGATTAAACCCCCTACTTTCCTGGAAATAGACTTCAGTAAGTCAGTGGGCTTTCTGTGGGAAGATTTTTCTCTGAATCCCTCTATTATTATGTCTTCCTCATGTTTTATGGCTTCTCTGAATTCAGAGCCTCACCCAGTGTCTGTATTTTCACCATGTCCTTAAGTGTGAGTGATGTTCAAAGTTTGAGGCTCCTTTGGCTGTTTACAACCAAATGAGAAATTTTACAAAAAGTTTGTGTATTTATTTTTTAGGGAAAGGGGAAGGGAAGGAGAAAGAGAAGGAGAGAAACATCAACATGTGGTTGCCTTTCACATGTCCCCAACTGGAGACCTGGCCAACAACCCAGGCATGTGCCTCGACTCAGAATTGAACAGGTCCCCTTTGGGTTTGCAGGTCGGCACTGAATTCACCGAGCCACACCAGCCAGGGTGACAATTTTTAAAAAAATTATAACACTCATGCATCCTTAAATTCCCTGTCTGGGACTGGGCAGGAACTGGCCAATGGTATGGTTGGCCCCATGACTGCATTACCCTGAGGGGCACAAGTCAAAGGAGAGTGCAGTGGTTAAGAACACGGGCTTTACGATCAGGAAGTTTTGAGTGCCAGTCCTATTTCTACTACTTATTAGCTGTGAATACCATTTATGTAACTCTCTTAACCCTCAGTTTCCACATCGGTTAAATGGGAAGAATAATATTATCTATCTATTAGGATTGTGAGAATTAAATAATACATCTGCATCATTTAGTAGAGTTCTTGACATATAATTAAGCATTCAATAACTAATGATGGTGGTATAAATCTCTTTAGAAAAGGCATCTGGTTGGTGAGCATTGATTTGATTCCCCCTCTAAGTGGTTCCATGTTCCTGCATATCTATAGAGTCCATAATGGCTGTGCACATCATCTCATTCAAGCCCAACAGTCTGGTCCATAAGTCATCTTTTGTGCTCTTCTCCATCAAGAGGCTTCACAAACAAGTGGTGGACTTGGGCCCAGACCTTGGGCTTGTTTGTGATGACCATCATATGGTTCCTCTACTGAATCTGTTTTTCCCCTTGCCCAGTAACTCTAATGGTGTTTTTGGCTTATACGTGATGATTGACTGCAGCCCTGCTTTTCTTCCTTCGTTATCAGAACAAGGCAGGGCCAAGGCTCTGGGTGAGGGAGAACCCAGAATGGGAAAAGAGCCAAATTCCAGCTTACCAACCACCAATGGGGGAGAGCTCACTGAATTTCATTACCAGCAGCCCAGCAGCCAGAAGAACCACGGTTCATGTGCAGTCTACACATGCACCCACACACAGGCACACACATGGATGGATGCTCATGCACATAGTAGGAAACTTTCCAAATGCATGGACAAAGGGGTACACATATTCCCACACTACTGTACCCCCTTATTTGCACACACACACAGACAGAGTGTCCAGGAGACATTTTACCATGCATCCCAGATTCAGCAAGGTCATTCAGGATAGGGGAAAGGGAAGATTTTGAGACAAAAAAAAAAAGAGAAATGAAAACAAAACGGTCCCGCCCTGTCAGCATTATCTGGAGTATAAGAAATGAAGCTGGGGCAGACAGACAGACGGACTCCTGGGGTCTGCCGGCAGTCACAATGTCCAGAGGGCCTCTCTTTCTCTGGCTGCTGACTACGCTGTGGAGGCTTTATCTGAGTAAGTGCCTGACCCTGCCAGACAGGGGCTCCCGGGGGGCTCAGACGCCTGCAATGGAATTCCTCGCCTCCACCAGCAGAAGCCCACTTCATCTATGCATCTCCCCAGGGTTTCTTCTTTGGGGGGGGGTCTCTCTCCTTCCTGTTGCACAAGGTTTTATCTGGAGACCTGTTTGGGGGTTTTCAGGTGGGGTCATTTGTGTTCATCTCAGAAATAGCATTTGGAGGGAAACACAGAAAGAAGGGGACAGATGAAATGAGGGACAGATATGCCCTCTGCAGTCTTACCAGTGTAGGCAGAGCCAGGGGGGTTGTTCTGGTTAGAGCTCTCATAACAATTCTTATTTTTCTCTTTAGTGTCAGGAGTGTTTGCTTGCTTTTTTTGTTTTATTTTGCTGGGGATCAGGCTTCAAGTTGAGGTTTCGTTCTGCACGTCATTTCCAGGTTCTGGACAGTGGGTGCCAGCCATTTACACCTCTGCATCCCGGTGATGGTGGGCAAAAGGCTCCCGGCCGAGCTGTTGTCCTGCCTGGTCACTAACCATTGACGCCAGAATGTGTCTGAACTGCTCTGGTCCTTCCCTATGTGAAACGAGGGATCCAGATTAGACCAGTTTAATAACAATCTGTGATTTGAGCGCTAGACAATCTCTCACGTCTTGTGCAGTGTTAAGTTTGGTAGGTACTTGTGTGTGAATCTTTCAAGCACATTACATGACAAAACAGCTACATTCCAGGGAAAACCAAGGTGTTTCCTTTACCTCTCAAGCCTTTTCCAAGCTGTTCTCTCTGCCCTTCTTCCCTCCACCACTCAAGGGTCCTCAGGTCTCCACGGAAGTCAGGCTTTTCCTCAGCACTCAGGACCCATTTAGGTGTTTCCGCTGTGAGCTCCTGCCCTCCCGGGGCTGCCCACATCAGAGAACTTGTCGCCTTCTAGTAATTGCTCACTAAATTACTTCTCTGCCCAGATACTTAATAGCAGTTTCTCTCTCTCTTTTTTAATGGAATTTATTGAGGTGACATTGGTTAATAAAATCATATAGGTTTTAGGTGTATAATTCTGTAGTACATCATCTGTATGCTGTATTATGTATTCACCACCCAAGTCAAGTCTCCTTCCATCACCATCCGTCCCCCACTGTCTGCTTTCTTTATCAGTGTTTTCCACAGTCTCTCTCTGTGTCTCTGGGAACTGGAGATGTGAAAGTCACTAGGGTTTAAGTCCACATCTGCAGCTGCTGGCTGGACACTGGCCGGGCTTTGACGCAGCTCACGCAGCCTGTCTAACTCCATTGGAAGGTGGTGGCATGGTGAACTGTCTGTGCATTTGTTTTTTCATTCATGTCTTTCCTAAAATGACCCATTTAGAAGACAGTGACTGTTCAGAATCACCAAGAATCAATCAAAATTGCATACGCTCTTCAAAGGTGCCAAATCAGGCGCTTGAGTCTGTAGATGGTGACCCTGAGACCTGGACTGGGGAAGGGCTTCTCTCAAGGTCACCTGCTGGAGCAGAAAGGAAGCTGGCATGGGAACACATGTAGTACCCACCATCCTGGGTGATTCCTGAAAGGGGGAGGGTGGATTTGATACTAACGATTCCTTTGTACCTGGATACAAACAATCCCTTCGTTCCAGAATACCTTTGTAACTGGAAGAAACATTTTTGTGTGTGTGTGTGTGTGTATCCTCTTTGTAAATTCTTTTTTAAAAAAAGATTTTATTTATTTTTAGAGAGAGGGGAAGGAAGGGAAAAACAGGGGGAGAGAAATATCAATGAATGGTTGCCTCTTGGGGGTCCCCCACTCCTGGCCTGCACTGCAGGCATGTGCCCTCACTGGGAATCAAACTGGCAATGCCGTGGTTCATAGGCCCACGCTCAATCCACTGAGCTATACCAGGCAGGTTCTTTTTGTAAATTCTAATGTGCTTGGTTACTTTATTAATTCCATGCAGCATTTGATCCTTCCTCTTCGGGGAGCCTTGGAAACTCTTTCTGAGGGGGACTGTTACCCATCACCTTTATTTTATAATGATAGTGAGGGTTAGGGTGGTCGGTGACATGGGCTGCCGAGAATTCACAGAGAGAAGAAAGTGTAGAGAGTAAAGGTTTTATTCACTCTCCAAGAAAGGAGAGGGGCATGGTGTGGGTAGACCAGCATTGAGGGGTGGGGGCTTTGAGCTTTTACTGGATTATAATTGGATGAAGTAAGGGCGGGGGGTGCTGCTATTGGGCGGCCCCTGGGTGGTGGGGGCATTGTAACCCAAAGCTGTGGTTTGTTCCAATGTCACCTCTGCTGGGGCTGTGGGGAGCGGTTCTGTTCTTGCCCCCAGTGATTTCCAGTTCTGGGGACAGCTCAGAGTTCCAGCTCAGAACTGTAAAATGGCATCATGTTAAATAAGATCATAGGCCTGCTTGGCAAATGGGTCCACAATAGCATATGGGGCTGGCTTTGTCCTTTCCACGAGGTTCGGATTCTTGTGGCTTTTCTCCAAGAACTCAAAAGCTGTAACTGGTGGCGAGGTCTACAATGTCAGTCTCGTGGGTATTTTTCTGCCACACCAAATTGCCTGCTTCCTTTTTTTTTTAATATTAATAATTAATCAGATGAGTAATACAGAAAAAGCCTTGGTGAAAAAAATATAAAAATGTTCCAAAGCTAAAATTGCTTTTGATGACCACTCCCAGGTCTTGTCCCTTTCCAGGGAGCACGGAGGTGACCGACATGAGTTGGGTGTGTATCCCACCAGACACTTTTCCACACATATAGCTTTATATCTGTACATACAGACACACACACAGTGCAAACTATTTTAGTTATTTATCAAATGGTTTTATATTTTATGTGTTGCATTAAAATTGGCACTTTTTTCTTTTTAAAATTTACTTATTTGTGAGAGAAAGACAGACAGACAGAAACATTGATTTGTTGTTCCACTTATTCCTGCATTCATTGGTTGATTCTTGTATGTGCCCTGACCAGGGATCAAACCCACAACCCTGGGATATCAGGATGACGCTCTAACCAACTGAGCTACCTGGCCAGGGCAAAATTTGCCCTTTTCTTACTTTCCTAAGACTTGGACTTTTCATGCCAGTTGACATGGGTCTATCTAATTCCAATAATCTTCTATATGTGTCTCCATGGAGTGCACATGCCAGTTTGGCCATTCCCATGTACGCATGTTCACTCTGTTTGCATATGCATGAGGGCCGCAGTAAATACGCACAATTAGGTTTTCTGATACATGTGTTTTTCTATGGAAAATAAAACATGAAATTGCTGAGGCTTAGATAGTATATGTGCATGTTGACTATTAAGAGAAACTGTGAGATCGGCCCCCAGTGTAGCTGTACCACTTCTTACCCCACCTCATTGCAGGTGGCTCCCTAGGCTGTCTCTTCCTAGGTCCCTACTAGCCAACACTAAATATTATCAGCATTCTAAATCTTTGCCAGATAGGTGAAATTTACTAGCCACTTGTGTTGCCTCATCTGTGAATTTCCTGTTATATCCTTTTTCAGTTTTTCTATTGGGTTTTTTAAATTTTTCTTAAGAAATGGGATGCATCCTTTGATGCTTTAGTACTTGGGAACATAACTAATGACTCTCCAGAAGAAATAACTCTTGTATATATTTCAAAATGAGTCTCCCAAACATTATAAGCTAATGTTTTAAACTGATAAGAACAGATTCTAGACTTGACCTTAGCCAAAGGGCCAAGAAGTGCTATGAGCTTATGTTTTTGAAGTTTCCCTTTTCAGGTGCATGTGTTCTGTCTTGCTAACACAGCCGAGAGCGGTGGCAATGAATTTCCTAGCTTTTCCCCCTGGTTTTATGGTGGATAAACTGGATGTCCACAGCATCTATGCTCTTTGAAACATTTTCACTGTGGCAAAGTGAAGAGACTGTGAGTTCCGGGAAGGCTCCGGGCTGGTCTCAATTCGGAGTGACCTTCATGGGAGAGCCAGCTGTGAAAAACCCAGGAAGCATATCCTTTTGCTGTCTCTCTGGGTGCCTTTTATGCTCACCTTCTAGAGAGGGATATCTGGACATTCCTGACACCTGAGTCAGGGAGGAGCAGGGGACTATGGGCCATGCCTTCTACAACTTAGTGCAGTGGGTCAACAAAGCTAACGAATGGACAGTCTCACGGGGCAGGGGGTTCCTTGAGGAAAACAGTGTGTAGGAACCTAGGCACCTAGGATGCTGTCCCTATGGTATGGACCTTCAGCCTGCCTGGCTCTCACTTCAATAGTATTTTTTTCTTTTTTGGGGGGGAGGGATTTAGAACAATCACTGATGCTCAGTTAGACCAGTGGGCTTAACACTCGCAGAAAAAATATTTCAGTCTCTCAGAAATGGATGTAATCTTAGAAGAGCTTGTCCAGTGGTCCTCAAACACCGGTGAGAGCAGTGATGTCAGAGTGACCAGAAGAGATTGGTGTCCATTTCCACGGGTTTTGGTCCAGAGGTTCCGACTCAGGGTTGGTCAATAAAATATGTATTTTTTCAGCACACTGCCCAGGTCATGCTGGTAAGTAGCCCAAGTTGGGAAGCATGGATACTTTATTTTAGAAATACAGGATGGAGCAAATGTAGGTTTACAGTTACTTGTATGAAAATCTCTATTTCCCACACTGAATGGAGAGGATAATGAGATACAGTTCAACAGCCTGTCTACCTGCCTTAGCCCTGTCTGGGCAGGCGGATGGAGGGAGGCCCATTTGAAGCTCTCCAGTCGGTAGCACATAATCACTGCTCAGTGGGATACAGAGGGTAGGGTACTGCTTTGGGACCTGTTTCTGAGAGTTAGTGGAATCGAGTTCAAGGGTCAGGAGTTTTCAGTGGCAAGTGTGTTGGTTTATGTAATGGTACTCAAGGTCAGAGTTGTTTAATCAGCATCAAGGTCTTGCTGTGCAAATGGGTTTAGACACTCAGGTGGGTCATCTGTCTCCACTTGGGGGATGGAAGGATGTGGAGCTGGGAGCTCAGCTGCGGCGAAGGGCCTGTCAAAATTAGACCAAAGACACCCGTATATCAGAACCCTCTTCATCTTCCTGGAAGCATCTATTTGCATGATCTCTGAGTAGCATCCCTGCGGTATTTTAGTGCCATACAGCCTGGTCTTCTCGTCCTTCCTCACAGCTCCCGCTGCAGCAGAGACTGTCGTGACAGCACTTCTGGGTCAGCCGGCCACTCTGCCCTGTATTTACCCATCGTGGTCCGTCAACAGCAACAGCATGTGCTGGGGCAAAGGCCCGTGTCCCAACTCCAGATGCACCGAGGAGCTCCTCCACACTGACGGGGCACGGGTGCTCTCAAGGAGGTCAATGAAGTATGACATTTGGGGGGACATCAGCAGAGGCGATGTCTCCTTGACCATCTTCAATACTAAGGAAGGTGACAGCGCTGTGTACTGCTGCCGCATAGAGGTGCCTGGCTGGTTTAATGACATCAAGAGGAACATTCGCCTGCAGCTACAGAAAGGTGAGCACGTGAAGGGGCGGGTGCTGCTGGAGGGAGAGACGCAGTGGTTGATGGGTAATAGACTAGGTGGCGCAGGGAGGGCTTTAGCTCCTTAAGCATCCAGTGGAGAGATTGAATCTGAGATGCGTTCCTATGACCAGAGGATCCACAGCATGGGGCAACGGCCCTCAGGGGCGAGAAGGGGGCAGAAATGAGTGAATGGAGGGTGGTGGGTGGGGAAGGAAATTGCAGGGTCCATGTGAGGAAGGCAGCTGCTTTTCATCGAGGAGACTGTCGCCTTGCAGGAACTGGGGCCCAGTGTTTCCAGACCTCTCAATTTTTATGTGAGCTGTGCGGATTTTTGCATGCTGGCAAAGATTTCAAGCATATACTATGTATACGAAATAAAGTGTGTCTATGGGTCAGCTTCAGCCCATAGACTGGTACTTTGCAGCTCTTGGCAGAGGACAAAGCAGGTGGGATTTTTTGACACTGGTGGTCATTTTCAGGTCTTTTGTTACTCTGTTACTATCCATTCCTTTCAGTGAGATTTGGAATATGGTGGAACACCCAAAGTTTAAGCAACGACCCCTTACCCGGAATTGTCAAACCTCAATTACTATGCTTCTTTTTCTAATGGAATTAATTGGGGTGACATTGGTTAGTAAAATTAGATAGGTTTCAGGTGTACACTTCTATAATACATCGTCTGTATGGTGTATTGTGTCCCATCCCAAATCCAGTCTTCCACTGACATCCCCCTTCACCCTCTTCTGCTTCCGCCACCCCCTCTCCCTCTGGTCATCACCACACTGCTGACAGATACAGGTTTTTTTTTTTTTTTCTTTGCTTAATCCCTTCCCCTTTTTCTCCTAACCCCCTCACACCTTCCCCTCTGACAGCCGTCAGTCTGTTCTCTGTCTGTATGAGTCTGTTTCTATTTTGTTTGTTAGTTTATCCTAATGCACTTTAAAATTTTACAGCTGATGTGGAAGCTTCTAATTAGAGGACTTTCATGCACTTTGGCATATTTTTCTTTCAAAACAACTTTGGGTGATAGCAGTCACCATTATTTTGATTTATTCAATGAAATGATGCCAATCCAAGTCTGCTCTTTTCAAGCCTGGTATGACAAGTTATTATTTTATAAGATACTTGTTGACTCCCCTGCTCTGTGGGGTCATTTCTAAGTTCAATCAAAACTATTGGTATCTTTCCGGTCCATTAGCATTTATGGAAGTTTGGCATATTTCCTAGGGCCGTATCTGTAGGAGAACTGTATCTAATGAACCCAATTTCAAATGTTTAGGGGGTGAGTGGAACTGGCGTGAACCAATCTTTAGCATCTGAAAAACACTACATCCTCATCCTATGTTGCATACTTTAGGCTCAGTTTTTATACATTTTAATTTAATTAAATTTTATTGTGGAAAGAATGCCTAAGTGAGTTCTACCCCCTTAGCCAATTTTTCAAGTGTACAATATGTTATTGTCAACTACAGACACAATGTCATACAGTGGATCTCTGAGTTTATTCACCTCGTTTGACTAAAATTCTATTTTACTTATTTTTTTATCTCTCAAATTTAATTTGTCATATATAAGGTTTTTATAGACAGTGTTCATTGTAATGGTTTATATTAAAAGTCGGTAACATTTATCTAAAATGTTACCTGGCTACATAGCACATTTGATATTATTACCCACAGGAAAAGGGAGAACAATGAATTTACACTCACTTTCGCCCGGTTTCAATTCTGAAAGTGTCCTAGACTGAAATTTTATATTTGGGCTCATTTTTGATGCAGTCATTTACTTACTCATGGATGTTTTTGGAACATTTACTATGCACAGGACACCATGGCAGGTATTAGATTTGTACCAGAGAACAAAATAAATACAGGATTTTCCCATGTGGAGCTTACCGTGTGGTGGGAGAAGCAGACATTAAACAATAATCATCAAATGAATGTGTAGTTATGAAATGTGCACATGCTGTGACGGTGAAGTGTAAGAGAGCCAAAAACCCTGTTATTACAGAAAGCAGATGCCCTCCATGCAGAACTGCCCTATTGGCCGAGGCATGAGGGTTAAGCAGGAGTGAGATTGAGGACGAGAGACACTTGGATGGAGTGAGCACAAAGTTCCTCCAGCTGGAAGGTCACTGACATGTTCAAAGAACCGAAGAAAGGCCCGAACGCTGGGGAAAGATGGACAGTCCAGCAGAGACCTGAGATCGGGAAGGAAGACAGGGCCGGATTGGTGGAGGCTGTGGCCAAGGTCGGGGCCTTGGCCTTTTGTCTTAAGGGCAAGGAGGACCCAGTAAAAAGTTTTAATCGGGGGCTGACATGATTAGATTTGTCATGTTAAAACATTACTCTAACCAATGTGTGAAGAACAGAGCAGAAATGCCAGTTTTCTAGGGCATTGCGATGGTCTAGGACAGTGGACCGGGTAAAGGCAGCAGAAACAGAAGTGGAAGGATCCCAGATATATTCACATTGTTTCCCTTTTCCTCCATCTCTACTCAGTACCACATATGTCTTCTGTTGGTTACAGCCTCAACGACCACCAGTCGCCCGACTACCACCACCACCATCACCACCACCACCACCACCACCACCACCACCACCGCTGCCATGACAACCACCACAGCCATGCCTTCAACAACAGTCCTGACTACCCCTGACCTCCCAGCCACAACATTGCTTCAGACAAAACCCACCACCGCCCTCACAGTGGCGACGACCACATGCCCCCTGGCGGTGCCAAGCACCCTTCCTGAGGCAACCAAAAGTCTCCCGACCACTGAGCCTGGCACAGAAGAGCCCTCGCTCACTGCAGGTGCGTGGCACAGCTGGCCCTCCTGTCCCTCCTGCTGACTGGATGTATAGTGCGTCCCTCGGAACAGGGTTCTTCTGCTGAAAGAGCGGCCCAGAGCTTTGCTTGTGTGTGTTGGGGGTAAGGGGGATGGTGTGTTAGTTTTCTGGGACTCTCCCAACATAAACCACAGACTGGCTGGCTTAAATAACAGAAGTTTATTACTAATTTTCTTACTATTCTGGCGGCTAGAAGTCCGAGACCAAGGTGTCAGCAGGGTTGATTTCTTCCGAGGTCATTCTCCTCGGCTTATAGGTGGTCATCCTCTCACCCTGTGTTCACAAGGTCTTTCCCCTGTCTGTGTTGCTGTCCTCATCCCTCCCTTTTACCAAGACGCCAGTCACATTGCATTATGACCCATCCCAATGACCTCACTTCACCTTAATTACCTTTTAAAGGCTCTATCTCCCATATTCTCAACTACTAGGAGTTAGGGCTTCAACACATAAATTTGGGGGGTGGGGCATGATTGAGCCCATAATGGCATGTGCGTGTATTCACTAAACTGTTTCTTCTCTTTGTTTTATGGTTTCCTGTTTTTGAAAAGCCGGATAATTTTTGGAGGGCAGGGGGCGGGGATTCTCCAGTTGACCTCCCACGAATCTTGCAGATGGTCACTGAAGAACCAGGCAATGTCAGACTCCAGTTCCATCCTGCCCAGGGTTGAGTCTCTGGCTGGGCCTTAGAGACTGGATGAGAAAAAGCCTCCTTGGATGCTCTAAGATATTTTTTGATGGTGAAATGGTTCTACTGTATTTCTTTCTTGTTTTGTTTCTCCTGAATCTTTCTTGATCCTGCATCTTGGACCTCTCAACTGAGTTACTGACTGACAGGGGCTTATCAATGCTCCCACCATGTTTCCACCTCTGCTTCTAAAGGATGAGATTATTAGAAAACAGCCCGGTGAGGTTCCAGTTTGTTGGGCATCATCCTGCAAAGCTTAAGTTTGCTGGTTCGATTCCCAGTCAGGGTACATGCCAGGGTTGCGGGTTTGGTCCCCTGTCAGGATGCATATGAGAGGCAACCGATTGATGTTTCTCTCTCACATCAGTGTTTCTCCTCCTTTCTTTCTCCCTTCTTCCCCTCTCTCTAAAAATAAATAGATAAAATCTTTTTTTTAAAGATTATTATAAAACAATCGTGAGATAGTTGGAAAAACTTCTTAAGCATTTCAGCTGCCTTAATGAGGCTTGAATCATTTAAATATTTTTATTTATTTATTTATCTTTAGAGGGGAAGGGAAAGAGTGGGAGAGAAATATCAATGTATGGTTGCCTCTCGTGCGTCCCCTGCTGGGAACTGGCCTGCAACCCAGGCATGTGCCCTGACTGGGAATCGAACCGCGATACTCTGGTTTGCAGGCCCACGCTCAATCCACTGAGCTACACCAGCCAGGGCGAGGCTTGAATCATTTAGATAGCTTTACAATATTCAACTGGCTAATTCTATCATGCTCTGAATAGTCATCACCTAAAGTCCATGAACCCTAAACCAATCCACTGTCTTACATGTTTTTTACTTAATTGGCCTCGAAACTAATCATCTTAAAATACTGTTGCCTTTTCCCCCCTACATTCTAAAAATTACTTGCAATCCTTGAAGAAAACCTGAAATACACAGAAAAAGCACAAAAACAACTATAAAAATAGGCCCACTCAGTATACACACTTACTTTTTTAGGTGCCTTTCATCCAACTGTTTTCTCTTCCAGAATCAGAAACTTCCTTTCTCCCTAAGGTGACTTCTGGAGACACAGCCGGAGGTATGTGGACACTTGCTCCTCCTCCTTTCCTTACCTCTTAGACTGAGGGGAAGGAAACAGTGAGTGGGGCGTCCTTGGAGCAGATGAGCAGAGAGGACTTGTGGACCCCGTGAGCCGTGAAGTCAACTTGGGACAAACTGGTGTCAAGGAAGCATTTCTGGTGCATTAGTTCCTGTGGATAAGGGATGAAAGGGAGAGGGAGAGGGTAGAGAAGGGAAGGAGGGAGGGGCGTGTATTGATTGACTGATTGATTTGGATTCATTCACGTGGTCCTTCATGGCAGCACATGTCTAGAAATTGGCATCTCCACTCCAGGTTATGTGGTGCCCAGCTGTCTCACTCTGATCCCAAGCCCACCAGTCTTCCAGGGTGAAACACCCAAGGGGTGCACTCACGTGACTGGTTGCCTTTTTATAGTGGAGGGAGAACTCCTTTATTCATTTGTCCTTACATCCATCAAGCCTTCTTCAGGTATTTACTAGGGCCCAGGGGCAGAGAACTCCCTCCAGATAACATGGGACTCACATCCATGAGGCTGCCAGAGAGAAGGGCCTGGGCTTGACTCCCAGTGTGGGGGCAACTTCCTCTCGAGTCCCCCCGTATGCCATGGATGAGAATGAATATGACCAAGACATGATGTGATCTGCTGGGGGAGGAGGAGTGGGCTGTGGCCAGTTTCTCAGGGGAGACAAAGGCCAGCAACAGCCAGTTTCTCTGAGAAGAAAAAGGCCTTGAGTCCCCTCTTCCAGGGCCTTTTGTTGGGTTGTAATACACAGGAATACAGGGCAGCAAGGATCAAACAGTAGATAACATTTCAAAGAAATCTGAGGGCTTAGTCTGAGTCAGTCTGTCAGGAACAGAGTTTTAGGGTTTCTTGCTCGAATCCTTAACATATGAATGAAAGCATTCTTAGCAGAGCAGATTTCACAGGTTTATGCCAGATTTTTCCCCAGGACACGCTCTAGCAAGGCAAGGAGCTGAACCACTCCCCATCAAGTATTCAGGCTTAAGGGGATTAGAGCCAGGAAGGGCTTTTCCCAGAGAATATGCAGACTTGGGCTATGTCAAAGCCAGGGGGTGAGAGTCCATTGCTCTTTGTTGCAGCCCCCCAAGTCCTTCCATGAAGTCCTCCCAAGTGATCGTCTGGCTTAGGTTGCCCCCTGCTGTGAGGGGTCTTACCCACCATTGACTTCCAACCAAGCTCTGGGAGCAGGGAGAGGAACTGAGGCAGCGTTTGCTACCAGAGACAACCTTTGTCTCATGTGGCTCACTTTTCAAAGGTCATCCCTCGCCCTTAGCCACAAGGGGTCGAGATATAATTCCTAGAACCAGGTAGAGTGGTTTACAACATCCCAGTTCTACTACTCTTTGCTGGGGGTCTCTGGCCTTGGTTTATTCCCAGGTTTGTTGGCGGAGCTGTGTAACTTCATGCACTTCAAGGACTTATATGAGTGCCTGGCACATTAGTAAAGCACTGAAATGATGGCTGTTACCTTAACAGGACTTACAATCAGGCAGAACCCAACAGACACCCGGAGGGTAAATGAGCTGATGCTTGTGATGGCACAGTATGGGGAGCAGGGTGGTATCGTGGTTCCTGTGCGCACTGTGGTGCCTCCCTGCCTGGGTTCAAAACCTGTCTTTTACTTGCTGTGCCCCTGTGGGAAAGTTACTAACTCTGTCTGGGCCTTGGTTTTCTCACTGATAAAATGGGAATAATAATAACAGCTTTCCTACATATGTGTCTTTTTCTGAGGATTAAATGAGAAATGCTTGTAGATCACTTAGAACAGTGTCTGGCATGTACTAAATGCTCAGTAAACATTAGCCGTGTTTTTTTAATGACAGCAGTCAGTTTTGGGGACAGAGGGACACCCAAAATAAAAAGGTAAGTATTTATACAAGTTTGTTTTCTCCTTTCCTTTTTTTTTTTTTTCCAGAGTCCAAAGGCTGGGTTCTCCGGTCAACATCACAGGCATTGACATCAAAAAGGACAGACCCAGGGTTTTCTTCTCAGCCAAAGGGTAAGGAGCCGTGCACCTGTGAGCAGAATCCTCTTTGGCCGTGGGAACAGTCTGGCGTCTGCCAGCTTGTCTCGGGACCAAGCTATTTTGGTTCCACTGTGGTCACATCCTACATCCTCCTGCATCTGGGATGAAAGTGAAACATGCTAAAAGTATCAGTGCTGGTTTCTTCCCTTCCCCCCTCATTTCTGAACCCCTTCCCCAGCCGCTTCTAACTTGAAGCTAGGAATGCCAGTAGGAGAATCATCATCCATTCATTTCTCAAAATACAATGAACATACTATTTTTTAATCCTTACCCAAGGACAGTTTTCACTGCTCTGAGAGAGAGAGAGAGAGAGGAAAAGGGGGGAGACAGAGAGAGAGGGAGAGGAGTTGGGGGAGAGAGAGAGAGACAGACAGACAGACAGAGACATCGATGTGAAATTAACACTGATCGGTTCTCTCTTGCACATGCCCAGACCAGGGAACAAACCCGCAACCTTTGGGTCTGTGGGACAACGCTTCAACCAACCGAGCCACGTCAGCCAGGGCCTGCTAACTTATTTTAAATTATACAAATACGACACTAACACATTCTTGTGAGTGACATAAAAAAAGTTAAAAACACAGTTAAACAGTTCTCTTTAGCTGCCTCTCTTTAATCCCACCCTTTCCTCTGAGGTCACCATGGCTATCTTGAAGATGAGCATTCTAGATCTCTTTCTAGTCCCTTACATATATGTATAGAGATGGAAACATACAGTTTGTTTTGTATGTGGATTTTTTAAAAATGCTGTCATTCTGTGGGCAGCCTTCTGCATTTTGTTTCATTCACCTCACATTATATATATATGTGTGTGTGTGTGTGTGTGTGTATATATAATACAATAATTATATATATATATATATATATATATATATATATATATATATATATATATATCAGACTGCCTTCTGCCTCAGTCTGTGCAGATGTACGTCATTACACTAAACTGCTGTATGGTAGTTCATACTGTGGATACTTATAAAACCCATTGTCCCGTGAGGGCATTTCAGTTGTTCTAATGTTTCATCATTGTGAAGAGTCCGCAGTGGACAACCTTGCGTGTGTGTCCCCTTAAGCATTTATCTGAGTGTCTCTCTAGCCAGGGCGGTGCCCAGCCAGGGGAAGGCTAGGCTGAAAGGCATGTGCAATTTTAAGTTGAATAGCTATTACAACACTGTCCCCCGGAAAGGCTGTGCCAACTTGTTTTCCTGCCCTCAGAATATCTGCTTTCCCAGATCCTCCCTGCACTTGACATGACCGTTTGTGTAACTCTTTTCAATCTTCCTGAGAAGAAAAATGTCATCTTGTTCTTTTGCTGTTCTGGTTAGCAGAGGGTCTGGGTGTCATTCCATGAGTTTATTCGCCGGAAGACGGCCATCCTTTACCCCTGGGAAGAAGGCACTGCCACATCACTCACAAAGGCTCAGAAGGTGGGATTGGAGGGCAGACAGGAGTGCGTGGAAGGGGCGCCGTGCTGAAGGAAGTCTAGGAGTCCAGATGGAATGCGAGGGTGAGCGAGTGCCGTGGAGCAGCTCTGGCCTGTGCTGACTCACACGGTGGGAAGACTCGATCTGGGCTCCATGTTCCTAACGTGAGGGAAACTACGTCCTGGAGATTCAAACCTTCTTTGTCCGCAGTGCAGGGTTAGGGTGGGGGCTGTTTTCTATCGGGAGAGAAGGTGGCAACCAGAAAAGCGATGGAGGGTGGGCAAGGAGTTTTCAAAACGCCATCTTTTATTCCATTTAAGTCTTGGACTATTTTACGTTGAATTGGGAATAAGGCGTCTATTGGTTTACTCTCTTTTATGATGTTCCTGATCATTTTCAGTTCACTCCTTCACGTTAAATTCTGGAAGAGGGAACACCCGCTCCCACACCCAGAGGCTGCACTGCAGCGGAGGAACTTGTTGTAAGAGGGTGTGTTCGTCTCTGTGTTAACCTCTACTTGTTAGGGAACGAACCAGGGTTTGTTGAGCACGCACCACGTGCTGGCCAAGCTCTTGCCACGGGCCACTTCCTCCAGTCCCTCCACAGCAGGCACGTTCTCTGTTTGACGGACTCTCCCGAGGCCACGCGGCTCCCGGGCACCAGCCCGGGAAGGTCCAGCCTAAGCTCCGTGCTCTTAGATATTATTTCATCTTACCTCGTTTTCCTGCCTGGAATGGAAGATCCTGTTCTTCCATTGACCATTCTCTCCTCCACTGGTTTTGGTAACAGAACACCTATAATGATAACTGCCATCAGCTCAGGACTTAGCTACTTGTTAGGTGCTGTGCTAAGGGTTTATAACATGCATTTTCTTACTCAAATCTCACAATGACCTTCTAGTCAGGCACAGATACCACCCCCCCCCTTTACACATTAGAAAAAAAACAACAGGAGGTTAGAGAGCTTATTAGAGAAGTTTACACCTATTCAGGTCTTTGTTTTAACACCATTCATTTACATGCATAACCTCATTAAATTTTTCTCAAAAGTCTACAAGATATACACCATCATCATCACGCTTATTCAGAAGTTCGTGAAGGTTATCACATGTCTGGGGAGGGGCAGGCCTGGCTGTGTAGCCCATGTCTGCGCCACTCTGATGCCACTCTAAGGCCGTGCTGTGCTGCCCTCCCCCATGTCCCCTCGGAGGCTTCGCTGGAATAATGAGGTCACTTCTTCACTCCCACGAAAGCGCTTTCACCCACTATCAGAGGGCCTGCGAGTCTCTGGGGAGTTTTCTTTCCTTGGCTAAATATCCTCCATTCCCTCCTCATTTCTCCATGTAATTTTTTTTGGACGGTAAAGCTTCTTTCATGATTGAGGCCTGGTTTAAATCCTTAGAGAGGATCTTGTCAAAACTACTATTCCCTAAAACGGGCCTTACCCAGAAAGGCAGTCTCTCACCTCCGCTCTTTGTGGAGTTCAGGGATGGGGTGGGGTGTGAGGAGAGTGACTCGCCCAAGATCTCACAGCTAGCAACATCAACAACAATAATAACAATAAAACCTTCATAGGTTCTCTCTGCAGCTAAAGGAAGCCTGTTACAGGAATTTAAATCATTCCTTCTAGCCTGAGGAGTGATTCACGTTTGCTCGGCAGCGAGAGTGCATGTGACATGGTTCCAGATTGTTCCCTGAAGACTCTAGGGTAGGGACTCTGAAGGCAGGGTGAGGAGAGCCACAGGGCTGTTGTTTCCTCAATAAGGTCGGTGGCCTGGGATTAAGTTCTCTTTTGATTGGCCCCCCTGGGCTCCCTTTGACCAGCTCGGTGACATCCCAAGTTCTTTCTTTCCAGTCTTTTCTGCCCACAGTCCCCCAGGTAGCCCAGGGCCAGGGTTAAAGGAACTGTACCCCTGTAAGTGTGGGAAAGGCTCAAAGGCTCATGTTACCCCAGCTCTGCCATTTCCTGCTGGTTTTTTTCCCCCTTTTTGATTTTTAGGTAAGTGACTTGTTCTATCCTTTTCTAAATCTTAGTTTCCTCAATTTATAAAATTGAAATAGTAGCAGTCCTTATTTCACAGGGCTATTAAGTGAGGGGATACATGAGAAAAATGCCCACAATTACTGGCTAGTCAATGATAGTCACCGGGATGGATTTCTACGTCTTCTCTTACGTCCTCGGCTGCTGGTCCTGCTCATGCGCTCACTTTTAGTTCAGACCCGCAAGGTAACTGGAGGCCACTTCCAAAGGCTCCCAGCTGACTCGCCATTCCTTGTAAGCACATAGACACTTTTCGGTTTTATTTATTTTGTTTTTTTAACTGCTGATCACACTAGGGAAACAGCTGATGAGTGACAAAATTACAAACTTGGGGAAGTTACGAAAGCGTTAAAATTGTAAGGTCAAAATTCTCTGCTTACAATTTGAATAAAGCCGAGGTTCTGAAAGTTTTCCACAGACTCCTGTGGCTATGGCTCTGCAGAACTCTCAGTGATTTCTGTGGGTGGACACCCTCAATCTCCCGCTGCCTCTTGCTTGCTTTGTCCTCACGTTGCTCCATCTCTGGAAGCGACACTCTATAATTTAGGCTTAGAAAGCAAATTGTGGCTGAAAAAGAGCTATGGTGGAGTTTGCTTTGCAAGGACTTCCAGATTTCTGTTTCTTATTTTATAAGACACTTCTAAGTATATAGCTTCTATTTCCACCATCTGAAGAAGCCCCACCCAGGGGGACAAACCTTCACCTCTCTACTGTTGCCTGGAATAGAGCTCAGAGATGTGGGGCAATTTTCCTAAGATCACACAGCTAGACAGAGTGGTGGTGGGGGGGGACTCACACCTTGCTCTTAGGGATTTTAAATTGTGTCTGTGAACTCTGGGGCACAGAAAGGTTGTTGTGTATGAAAAACTGGGAAACTGAGGCCGGAAAAGGCTACAAGTTAAGAGGCCTTTTGGTGAGTGAGGAAGACAGCTGAGACCACAGGCCAGTTCTCCTGACGTCAGGGACAGTTGGCCCTTGTCTCAGGACTGGCAGCCACTGTCTCCCCACAGAGCTTCCCCAAGGGCAGATTTTCATATTTGATCCTAAAGCATCAGGATTCACTTTTTCCCAGCCCCGAGACGGGTCATTATACCCATCACCCACATGAAGTCAAACCTGTACAAATTTCAAATTGAATGCACCTGAATATGCATGAGGGCTTGGCTGTCAATCCAGTAAAATTGGAAAAGATGAACGTTGTTCTGGTAATAACATTTTTCTTTCCTTGAGATTTTTATAGTACCTTTTTCTCGGTCCCAGGGTTAGGATGGTGAAGAAGGGGGGAAAAGATGCTCTTAGGAACGTTTGTTCTATCACTGTTTTTTTGGACAGGGGGCCGGTTATATAAAACCAGCCCATGTGCCATGGTCCAGAGCAAGCTGGCATTCCATGAAATCAGAGGATTCTCAGAGGAAATGGGTTTGCTATCTTTATTCTGGCCTTTTGATTGCATATGTGGATACTTGGGAAGGCCTTTCAAATCTGCCATTCATTAACCATGGCTTA